GACATGCTATACTATGACTTTTTTTCATGATTTGAAGCATGTCGTCCAAAATCATGAAAAAAAAGTCTTAGTATAGTAACAAACCTTTTGCTGCATCCCTCGTCCACAGCAGTACATTGCTCAGCTCCGGTGGTGATACGTCCTCCTGCTTGTCCAAACTGGGGGTGTACAGACGACATCTACTGTAGATACACTGACTATAGATAAATGCCTCCTACAAGCCCATTACAAAAATCCGAACTGCTGCGTAAAGGTTTTATTCATGAAGTCTCATTGAGATCAACATGTGAGATCTGATGACACCTTTAACATTAACATCAGAACACGTCAGTCACACAAAAATATCACCAGGTTTGAATAAATGTTTTGTCTCTGTAACTTTGTGTCCTCTGCAGGGAAGAGAAGACTGTGTGATGTTGATCCTGGAGAAGCTGTCTGACACGGCGCTCATCAACGCCACAAATGCAGCACTGCAAACGTGAGTTTCTAACACCTCCATCACATGACAAAAACATGTTCAGTCTCACTGTAATCTGATGAACTAGAAATGATCAACATGATCATGTTTAACTCTGTGTGTGTCAGTCCTCTCCACCTGGCGGCTCGTAGCGGTCTGAAGAAGGCGGTCCAGGAGCTGCTGTCTCGAGGAGCCAGCGTTCAGACGGTGGATGAGAACGGTAGGGTGACCCAGGTCTAAACCAGCCCCTCCTCCAGGACCTTTATCAGCTCGAGCTGCATGCAGTGGTCGTTTGTCAGCATGGCTGTTTTCCTCCGTTCCTGCATGAACTGCACTAATGAATGATTTTAATTTCATTTATTCCACGTGCACACAAATGAATCTCTAAAAGAGGGTTCCCACTGCTCATGGAGTCTAGAGATGATATTCCAAGATATAAAAATGAGACATTTCAACTCTGTTTCAACATTTTATTACCTTTATTTGACAGTGACAGCAGAGAGATGACAGGATGAGGAAGAACATAACATGAATTAATTGCCAAAGTCTAATGAATGGAATACTTCATTTAAAGTACTGATTTATGATGGACAGTTTATAATAAATATATATATAAAAACAGATGCAGCAGATTCAGATATCATCTTTCATGTCACACATTCTTTTCCCCTGTCAAGACCTGGTGCCTACATTTCCCACAATGCAACTTGACCACCTTCAGATTGTTTTCATTTCCAAACAGACTTCACACAGCTCCCTGTAGAGACACTCTTTATACACTTCTTTGTACACAGCTTTAGACTTCAGGACCTGTCAACAGACTTTAACATGTAAAATGATTCAGGCAGATCTGTGGGGAAATAAAATCTTTTCAAAATCTGACTCAATTATAAAAGTCATTAAAATATCTGTGAGTTTCAGCTCCTGGCTCATCTGGCTCACAGGATGTGGACTGTGTGTATGACGGCCTAACACATTGGAGGTGTGACGGGAAAAAAATGACATGCTCATCTGCGGATATTTTGCCTGAAAACTAACATACAAGCAACAATGTGACAACCACCTCTTCAGCAACCTACATGCTGTAAAATCTTTGTGGTGCATTAGCCATGGTAATGACAGAGCTCGCCGCCCCACCTGCAAATGTTCTGCAAAAACCAGTTCCCTCCTGACACTACAGGCATCGATGCTGCATCCTTGGTTTAGCACTGTCTAAGGCAATTGTGATTGGCTGAAAGAAGTACAAAAAAACAAAAAACTCTTTCTCCTCACGTCAGAGGTGTACTTGCTTTTTATCCACATGTTCACGTAGACAACCAGCGTCCTCATGAATGCATTTGTTCATGTACCTACGTTTGAACTACATATCACAGGAGGATACCACTAGAGGGCGCACCTGAGAACTTCGGTGATGCGTGATGTAAACAAACATGGCAACACTCGACATTATTAAACTGTTAGTTCTGAGATCACCAAATATCAAACCTTCATAATGACCTTGTGTGCAGTACGAAGTGTCTGTTGACAGCTTTACAGACGTCTGTTCTGACGGTGGTCTGTGGGGAAAATGCTTTTATTTGCTGCAACATGAAGATTGGCCAGTTGGAAGCAAAGCTAAAGGCCTTTGCACACTGAGTCTGTTTTTTTAAATCTGTCTTCTGAAAAAAATCGTTAGACACAGAAACCTGTCACACTGATTCTGATGTGTTTTGTTGTTCAATTCATTGTGAAAATTTTCAGCATGTGACAAAATGAAAAGACACATTTCCTCCTTCGCCTTTCTCCACTGGAGCTACCTATCTGCCTTCACCACTCCCTCCCACAGCTGCATGAGGGGGCTGAGCTGTCCTTCCTCCCTGTCTCCATATTCTGTGTGCGGCCCACATCCTCTTCATCATCATCATCCACCTGGATATGACTATCTGACCTGCTGAACATGAGCTATCTGAGTTATGATTCTGAGCCCCGTTCCTCTGTCTCGTCTCAGCTGTGTCCCACCGCCACATTTTCTTCACTGATTCTTGGTCAAACGTCTCTGAAGGATCTGACGGAGGAAAAAATCGAACCTGTTCAGAAAATTTTTATGACAGACAAACGTTTCAGACTCAGTGTGCAAAGGCTTTAAGCTGGATTTCTGGTGCTCTGGTTCACAGAACATGATCGCTCTGCCTATATGTGACAGTGGGAACCTGATTGAAACTGTCCACAGGCTGCTTCTTTGCTTATTATTGGATGTATCTGTTGTGTAGTGATGGACGTCAGCTGTGGTTGTCTCTGTGTGCTCTGTGCCCCCCCCCCCCCCTCATGTCTGTGTACTGTGTCAGCTGGCTGAACACTAATGGAATGCTGCTCCGTCCCTCCTTTGTCTTCTGCTTCGCCTTCCTCGCTTCCTCCATGTCTACGTCTCGCTCTTCTTCCTCCCTCCCCCTCTTCCTCTCTCTGTCTCTCTACCTCAGGTCTGACGCCTGCTCTGGCTTGCGCTCCTAGCAGAGAGGTGGCTGACTGTCTGGCTCTCATTCTGGCTACCATGATGCCTTTCTGCTCCCCTTGCAGCTCCGGGGCTCCCTCCCCAGGCTCCCTGCTGAGGCAGCTGCCCCACCAGGGGTGTAAAGGCCCGGGCACCGGCCCTCGGGGGCCACGCAGCCCCAGGAACCCCTCCGGACCCTCCAGCGAAGGAACCACCGAGAACGACTCGGAGGACTCGGAAACCTTCTGACCCCTCCGAACCGACTCTCTACCCTCCTACCTCCAGCTGTGCACCTGAACTTTTTACCTCCCCTCCAGGAGCGATGCAGTTTTTGGTTGGTGACATGCACTCTGGAGGGAGGAGGGTGGAGATTTGGTCGTGACGTAGCTTGGATGTTTCGTCTGTATCTTGTACAGAATCGGCCTCCTGTGTGACACCAGGCTGGAGACCCCGCAGCGCTTTTTTTCTTAGTGCCCTTTTTCCAAAAAACAATGAGCGGAGCAGCCGCACTGCCCCGGACTGACTACTGCAGCCGAGTAAGATGCTCCACGGTGATGAAGAATTTGATCCGGACCAGTTCTGGTTCGGGTCTGCATGCTTGTGTTGACTCACACCACGGTTTGTTCTTTCTACTCACGGGTGCTTAAATCCAAACCGACCTCGGTACTTCAGTCTCTGCATGGCACAGCAACTCGCCTTGGAGACTCGTTTTGTCTTAAAAAAAGAAGCCATTTTTAACTGTTTGTACAAAATGAAGTCAACCATGAAGACAGCTGAGTGTCCGTTTAACCTTTTTATGATTTTGGCTTGTTGTTGTACCAAATATTTGACTTCCACACGTAAATAATTAACATTTTTAACTGTTAACAACTGAAGCACAAATTTGGATTTTAGGTTTTGATGAACTGTCGCTGGAATGTCGAGGTTTAGTAGTTTAAATATTGTTCATGAAAACGAGGACACGACACACTGGGTACGTCCTGATTCCCTTATTTGGGCGAGGAGACGTCAGGGTGAATCCATGCGAGCAGTTTCTACCAGCAGCGACCAATTTTTTAATTAAAATTCTTATTTGTGTTTATTGATAATCTGTTTGTAAATTCATTTTTAAATAACTCAGATTATAATGACAGTGTCTTATAGAAATGATAAAGTAGCTTCAATGTTTTAGGTAAACTTAATATTTTGTAAATAAATTTTAAATCAAATTCTAGTTGAGTAGCGATCAGATGAGGGACTCAGGACGTACCCACTGACTGAACACAGGGTTTGTGCAGATGTGAACTGAGACTGAGATTTATGCATTTTATCCTGCGGCCTCTGTCGGCCTCCTGCACTGTTTAGACTCCATGTTCCTCCCCACCTGTCGACCTGAGGGCTGCACTGTGAAGTAAGATCAGCAGGTTAGAGAGTCGTGTTGAGTCTGAAGAGTCTTCCATGTTATGAAGATGGTCATGGTAACTTAATGCTGCAGACTGAAGCTGACTGGAGCCAGTTTTTGTTGAGCTTTGGATTTAAACTGGCTAAAAAAAAAAACATCTTTTTCTCATCAACTCCTCTGATAATAGCATCATTCTGTAATCAATAGTCGATCTATAAGCGATACAGATTCTCAGCTGAGGAAATGTTAATAGATGCAGACATGTTGAGCCAAAACATGACATTAGTAATGCCTCTGAAGTTGGGCTGTAAGCTAAGGCATCGACTAAAGTAACCAAGTACCAACTGGTATCAAAACATCTACCCGATACCTGCATTTGATCCGTTTTGTTCTGGAGGTCTGATCCTGGACCGACCCGACTCCCAGTTGGATCAGCAGACTTTCTGTTACTGCCATCTCTGAATGGTCAGTTCAACATCAAGCTAACACAGCAGCAGCGGCTAACATCCAAAACCAAGCTGTTACTTGGGCCTAACAACATCACACAAACATCTCTGTCGTTAGACCCATAAAAACAAATATAAATTGGGCCCAAAAACAGTTTCCCCATTGACTTACATTGTGAAAGAGACATCTGTGAAATGACTGGTGTCGCTATCAGGATTTGAGCCATTCGGTCTGGTAACATTTCTAAAGTCTGGAAGAGCCTGAAGAAGAAAGCCTTGGTTAACAGAGACCGTTGATAACCACCCTCTTGGTACCCGTTATCTCTTTTAGGGTTTGTCGAGCCAGCTGAGGCCCAGACAGCCTGACTGTGTTGAACTTGCTTCATAGTGCAGCCCTCAGATTAGCCACTGGTGACCTGTTCCCACCTGGGCAGCTTTGATGTCTGATCACGCAGCCCAGACTCTCCTTAAAGACCAAATTCCTGAAGCTCTGTTCGGCCTCCCTCAGTTGGTTGTGGTATTTATTATCTCTTACATGATGGTACAAATACTGCCAGCACTTACAATGTAAAGTAACACAGGGCCTTGACCACTCCCCTCCCCCTCCTCCCCTCTGTTGTCTACCTACCAGCTATGTGCCATTGTCTCTAATGTGTCCAGTGCCTTGATGTCCACTCATTTTTCTTTTACAACAAGTCCTTTGTTAGAAATATAATATTCCTGTAATTAAAGGATCAGCTCATTAAAATCACTGAACCCTGGAGGTACTGAGCTGTGCAGGTTTGTCCAGCTTTTCAGATATTTGCCTCAAATTTCTGCTACGACCAAAATAAAAAAAAATAATTTAGCTGCTTATTTTTTGTGCATTTTTGACTCTCTGTATTTTACCAGAATTTACTGACATGATCCTCCAGATATGATGTCAAGGCTCTGGGCAACGTCTGCTTCCTGAACAAGAGCGATGAATTTGCACCTGAAACGCTGCCAGAAAGCGGCAGGAAAAAAGTGTGGAGGAAACAAACAAAATAAGAGATGCCAAATAAACAAGGCGCTGATTCATACAGGACTGATATCATCACATGACGTCTGTGTTTGGATAAATATGGAACATAACTGACTTCAGAATTTTCACTTGACAAATAACAAACATAGCAGATTCGTATATAGTACTCACGTGCTGAAGTGAAGTGCAGAAACAGTCCTCATCCTGTTAAGTGATTTCCACCCTCGTACATACAGACAGATTAGCCTGGTTTACTCCAGGAGCCAAAAGCATGACAATATGTTGACTTTGGAAACTTGTCATCAACTTTCATGTTGTTGTTTTTATCAATAAATTTACTGATGGTGAAAATAATTACCAGGTGAATCAATGATCAAAGTGTTAATTAGCTGCAGCCCTATTGTTTGTGTCTTCAGTTAGCTCTGTGGAGAATCCAGATTAAGCAGGACGTTGTTTGTTTTGAGGCAGAAATCTTAAAATCTGGACAACTAAAACAAAAACTATCTGCACGACTCGACACCACAACATTCCAAGTGTCTGGGTTTTTGTTGCAGTTTTTTAGTGCACTGATCCTTTAATATTTTGAGCATAATGTGGTCGGTTATGTCACATTCAATGACAGAGTTTAGAGGAGTTTGCTCTGCGTGAGTTGACCATTATGCAGATGGGTTTTTTTTGTTGAAATAATGTCTCACTCCGATGTTTTCTCTCCTGAAGGCTGCTGATATTCTGTATTTTTATTGTCAACAAATCCCTCCGAAACAATCAATGTGTCTGTCTATTGATACTTTCTGTGGCTCTTGATTTCCAATGAAGACACAAATGTTTGAGTCAAAAAAACTTAGTTTGAATATATAAAAAAAAATGTTTTTATCATTTCTTAAAACAGCTTTTCAGTGTAGCTTTAGCTGTGGAGGCGCATTTCCACCAGTGTGATGAAAAAAAAAGATCCTGTGAGTCGTAGAGAGGAAATTTTCTCAGAATAATGACGGTATTTATTTGTTTTGAAATACTAACTCAATATTTTGACAAACTAACTCATTTTAACAAACTTTCTCATTTTGAAATACTTCATTTTTTGAGGTAAGTCGTTATTTTAAAATTGTGTCTCAAAATAATAAGAAATTAAATCATTTATTTGAGATACTAACTCAGACTGAAATAGTAACAACATTTTTCCAAGTTGCATCTCAAATAATGAGAAACTAACTCGATCAATAAAATAAGGAGATTCTACCTAATTATGAGAAAGTTTATTATTATTTTGAGACACTAACGTTTGTCATTGTGGTGACTCACAGGATCTTTTTTTATTTTTCTCATCACACTGGCAGAGAGGGTCTCCATACTTAGCAAACGTTACTCTCGGGAGCAATTAAATTTATTGGGGACTATTTTCAGCGGCGGATTAATCTACATTTGGTACTGAAGTGAGTATTTGTGGCATCAGGACAGTGTGTGGGATCAATTTTAAATAAACTACAATGCCGCAGTTAAACGTAATGAAGGAATGTGTTTTTAGCTCTATGGACGCAGACATCAGACTTGTTTTGTCTTTTCGCGGGATTTGTAAACAATAAGAACAAGAATATCTTGTCCTTTAAGTTGTGTGTGTGTGTGTGTGTGTGTGTGTGTGTGTGTGTGTGTGTGTGTGTGTGTGTGTGAGAGAGAGAGAGAGAGAGAGTGTTAGCTTTAGGTACTGATATGAAATTAAACTGCTTTTGTATATAATGTTGACGTAAAGCTTTGTATGAACTCTCCATCACAGATGATTTTTAAGTGACGTCTCCATCCTGAAGGTTTTTATTTGAGCTCCAGACTAAAAGTTGTGAATATTAATGATCTTATTTTAAACCCAGAACCCTGCTAGCTGCAGTTCGACTGAAATGGAGACGACTGATAAGCACACGTTGTTAACAAGCACACTGTTGTTCTGTCCCTGAGCTGAAGGTCCGCTGAGAGACTGAATCTGTCTGCCAGTATTATTATTATTATTATTGTTATTATTCTACCAGAGACGAGCTTCACCAGTCCTGACAATCGCTATCGTCATGTGTCTGATGATTTTCATACCAGTTCCTGATGCAGTACGACATGCTGAGGGCTGTTTGTCAGCTTCCCTTTGTTTTATATAAATTGTACAATTATAAAAAATCTGAAGTTACTGTTGTGCTGTTTTTATTTTCCATTTCATTCTCCACATTATAAAGAAAAATGTTTTTGTCTTGTGTTGCTTTGAAAATGAACGTTCTTGCTGCTGAAGCTGATGAGGAGGATTTTACCATTTCACTGTTCATTTGGAAATTAGATTATTATTATTAACTCTTTTAACAACCAACAGACTGAGAGAAAAAAGCCTTTTCATTAGGGGAAGGGAACTCACGCTCTGTATTATGGAAAATTAAATTGTATATGTATTTGTGGCGGGCGGCACGGTGGTGTGGTGGTTAGCACTGTCGCCTCACAGCAAGAGGGTTGCCGGTTCGATCCCGGGTGTGGGAGCCCTTCTGTGCGGCGTTTGCATGTTCTCCCCGTGTCAGCGTGGGTTCTCTCCGGGCACTCCGGCTTCCTCCCACAGTCCAAAGACATGCAGATTGGGGACTAGGTTAATTGATAACTCTAAATTGTCCGTAGGTGTGAATGTGAGCGTGAATATTTGTTTGTCTCTGGGATAGTCTGGCGGCCTGTCCAGGGTGAACCCTGCCTCTCGCCCGATGTCAGCTGGGATAGGCTCCAGCCCCCCGTGACCCTCAAGAGGATGAAGCGGTTAGAAGATGAATGAATGAATGTATTTGTGGCAACATAGTGATCTCTGTAGGCGAGGACTTGCTCCCTATGTAGATATAAACAGCTCATTCTGAGGTAACAAGAACACGATTCTTATTTTCAGGTGATTATACACTAGAGAAAACTTTTGATATTACATTTCTGCCAAAATATGCTCCTAAATCCTGCACACTGGACCTTTAATCAAATTGAATTTTGTACATAAAAAGACAGAAAATAGTGAAAATGACGAGGTGATATCTTCAAATTCTTGTTTTGTTTGTTTAACAGTCCAAAATATTTAATTTAAACTGATTATAAAAACACAAAAGCAGCAAATCTTCACATTTCTTAAGTTTAAAACAGAAAATATTTGAAGTTTTTGCTCAATAAATGACTTAATATTTAAACTGATTATTGAAAGTGTTAATTAAATGCCACCTCTCTGGTCATATCATTAACCTATTATTTGACATGTGCTGCAGTGTCTTTATATCACATCTGATGTTTCTCATCTCTGCTTCATTTACTCCAAAAACAAACAAATAAAATCTTGAACAGATCAGAGTTAATAATCTTTTAATAGTTACATCTCTGTACATTTACAAACTTTAAATTACACAAATTAGTTTGTTTACCAAACTATAAACACAAGACTGAAACTTTTCAGCAGGTCCTCTTGAAACAGTTTGGACTCATGGCACCGATAAAAGAACGAAGCCTCTTTGGAAGAGGATAAATTATAAAGTGATAATACTGAAAAGATAAAAACTGGTCTAATCTGTCGCGTTAATGCTGCAGAGTGTCGCTGCTCCGGCGGAATGATTCTGTGCTGTGTACTCGTCTATTTACAGTCTGCACAAACATTTACAGAGTCCAGTGTGCTTGTGGTGAACTCACAGACTGAGCAGAGTGAGTACCTGTGGGTCTGTGTTTAAAATGCACTTGGACATGTCACACTGCTCAGCAGTTGATGCCCAGGCCAGTCCAGTGGTCAGGTACCATCAGGAAGTATTTGTCCATGGCCTCGCAGAATCGAGCTCTGTACAGCTCCGGAGAGACCACAGTGGGCATCTTCCCTGAAGGAGACGCAGACAACACGACGTCACAGACAGGAAACACTCACAAACTCAGAGTATCACAGTAGGGTCATGTGAATTCTCCATAATTATCACGTGATCGAGAGAACAAAAGTCGTTTTTAACTCAAAAATAAAGGTAATTTAACCCGTTGTCATAAGAAAACGAGCTGCGTTATGTCGAGATAATAAACTTTTGATCCTGAGATAATCACTTTAAAAAAACATTGCAAGCATGGTCTTTCTCAGCTTCAGCACAGAAATCTTCTTTCGTGTGATGAAGTCACAGATGTGAAATAATCAGGGACCTCTCAGTTTATTTGTTTTCAACAGGTGCAAAATGCCTCTAGCAACGCAACTTGTTACTCTGATCAACAACTAGTGCAAGACGAGGCAGTGCTTGGTCTGTTTTAAAGAAGGAACAATGTGGTGTCCTGGTCACAACCAGTGCACTAAAATATGTTTCTGAAAACATTTGAGGTGAGAGAATTGATCTTTGTTTCGTGAGCCCGGTGTGTTGGAGACTGGAGGCAGTTACAACCAATCAGAGTGAAATCTGTCATGTGTGATGCTCCTCTGTCCCCATATTGTGATGGGCCGGACCCGGGCCAGGTTAGTTGGAAATCTGTCTTAACTGGAGGGGGACAAACGCATCTGCCAGAGTAAATGAAACATGAGCTCGCAGAATAGTCTGGCTGTTACAAACCAAGATACGTACTGACTCTGAGAAAAATGAACAAATATGTTTCACTGTTTCCACAGTAGGGTTGGGTATGGGTTAAAAAATTACAATACCAGGACCCTTCAAGTTACCTGATACCAATAGAGTACTGATGAAGACTCACCTTGACCTCCCAGGATTCCAGTGGATTTGACGACCATCTCCAGTCTCTTGTCCCAGGTAAATGTCCTGATATAATCTGCAGGAAACAGCAGATGGAAAACTGTTACAGAGACGTCACCAGAAAAATGTTCAAAAACCACAAATATTAACAGGTGAAACAGAGTTACTACCCTCCTCCTCCTCTCACCTATGATCCCGACCACCAGCTGATCGGTGGTGTCGTCACGCCCCACCAGCAGCGAGTAGTCGATGATGAGGTGGCTGGATAGGAAGTAGGCGTCGCTGTGTATGGCGGCTCTCAGGATGGCCTTACAGTGGGAGCGGATGTACAGCGGGTTGTCGTGGATCAACTTCAGAAGGTTCTCGTCCAGAAGAACCACCTCACAGCTTTCCTTCCCCGAGTCCGTCTTCACGTTACGGTTCCTCAGAGAACCTTTGAGGTCAAACACCTGCAGGAGGAAGACCAAAGGTGTGTCGATGAGTTTGTGCACATGTACTGGTTATTTTGTAGAAATGTGTCACTGTCTTGATTTACTAAGAACAAATTTAATATTAATATTAATCTAAAATCATCAGATATCACAGTAAAACACTGACAGTTAACATTTCATTGCACTAAGAGTACTTTTACTTTTGATTCTTCACCACTGCCATGTTGTACTCTGTCGTACCTGCGCCATCTTGCGTCCATAGAAAAGATTCTCCATCACCAGCAGGTCCAGTTTCTTCTCTGTGTTGTTCTGGGAGTTCTTGTAACCAATCCTGTAAACACCCAGGATCTTCGCCAGCGCAGTCGGCCGCTGTGGGACAGAAAGTGGTTTGTTAATTATTTAAATTTAGTGAGTAAACCCCTGATAGAAACTTGTATGGTGCGTACTTTCTGCTGCACAGCTCCAGTGATGTAGGTGAAATAATGAGGTGCGAAGTCGAGGAAGGACTGAACCTCCAGTCTGGGCATCTGCTTCAGGATGAACCGGTCATCTGAGACACAGGAGGGGAGACAGTTCCTGTTATTATAATGTTTTGGTCTTTTTATGGGATTTGTTGACAATAATAAAAATATAGATTGACATAAGCAACTTTCTTTAAACTGCAAAAACCTCCTATAACCAATAAACCTGATCTTACAGCACAAACCTAGAAAATGAGACCACAAACCAACATACTACACTCTGTACTTATCAGGTCCTACTAATCCCAAATAGCTAAGTGATGCAGACCAAACAAAAGCTAGTACGGGCTGCAGTGACAGAAGTCACATTAATCTGTGATATATTAAATATCACAACCTTCTGTTGCATAGAACACAGCTCCAGATTTCCCTCCCCGAGCCTGCCAGTTGACACAGTGGGACAGCGATCGCACAAAGTCCTCCTCGGTGCTCTCCATGATCTCCTCGCGCATCTTGTGGAACTCCTCGGCGTAGTAGATCCGACAGTAAAACTTGGCGTTGGCTTCTGAGAATTCTGCAAATGTGACAACAGATGAAATTTAATTTTTACTCCTCCACATCTCAGAGGAAAATATCTTTATTTAACTTTTACTCTTTTAACAGAGTACTTTAACAGTGTGATACTAGTACTGTAACTTCAGTAAAGAATCTGAATACTTCTTCTGGAGGATAAATAAATGTCAGAGGAAGAAATACTCACGTAGCTCGACGTGCGGATTCAGAGTCTGTTTCTTCTGTTTATCTGTCAGGTCTGCATCCTCTGCACAAAACAGTCATAGAATTGAATTATTTCACATGTAAATGCTTTTAAATTCTCAGGGAATGAAGTTGTCATGTGACGTGAACACTCACTGAGCGGGTCGGTCTCCAGGCTGATGCGGCTCTGCTGCGATGAAGCCGACTCACTGGGCCTGGCAGGGCTGCTCTTCGCACGACTCTCCCCAGCGCTGAGGAAGAAACAAGAAAATATGTCAGCTCTTCTGTGCATTCTTAACACTTGATTATTTCTTCAGTTGAACAGTTGAAAGTTTTTTTTAATAGTGAAATTAATAAAGCTTCAACTTCTGCATGACAATGTTTACATGGCCAAAACATTTTAATCCTTCCTGCTTTGTTGAATGTGTTTTTCCTATTTATTTACAGACAGCTAAAAGTTAACTAAAATCTCTGCAAAACATCTTGTGAATCTGTCCTGATATATTTCAATCTAATAACGTATTTGCACAACTCCTGACAGCTGTGAAAGAAATACTTTTAGTGTCCTTAAGTTAAAGTAGCAACACTGCTCTTTAAAAATATTCGGGCAATGTAAAACTCTTGGATTTAAGATTTGACTTGTGAAGAAAGTATCAACAGCAACATGTACTTTAAGTATTAAAGTAAAAGTAATTATTGGGTAGATGGGTCCCTTTCAAACAGTTGTATCATATTATTATGATGCTTAAACATGTCACCAGCATTTTAATGTTGCAGTTGGTGAAAGTGGAGCACTTCTTTGCTACTTTAGGTACAGCTGGCGACTTT